ACCCGTCAATGCATAAAAGGTCATTAGATACATCAACCAGTGAATGAAACAGCATCCAAAAGGAAATAATACCAAACAAATTAAAAGGTACAAGACAAATATTATAAACTTATAGCTGTATCTAACGAAAGATCAAATTGGTTAATCATAATTGTCTCTTCACGCTGAACGATCACATCCTGGATTGAGTGCCATCCAATCCATACCAAGGTACCCAAATCACAGATTTAAAATGGAAAGAACACATTAACAACACTGATTTCTATGTAGAAATCTCAAACACTGCCAAAGAGAATGCAGAAGAACAGCATACATAACCCTCGTCAGATCAATCATCGAATATCGATCAATCATCTGGGACCTCTATACAACCAAGGAGACAGCTAAATTTGAGAACATACAAAGACGAAGATTCATCACAAAGGCCTAAAAATCCGTAGAGGAAGGAAGCATGACCAAAATGCTACAAGACCTAAACCTTCCTACTTTACAAACTAGAAGAATACACCAATGTCTAATATTTTCTACAAAATAGTGGAGGGGCAGATCCCAGTAATACCACCTAGGCAACTATTTACGTTTCAAAATCAAAAGCATGAATCAAAACCCAAAACATTGGAGAATTGTGAAACAGCCACAATCATGATATCGACGGTAAGAAACAATACTAAATCAGTAATCATCCAGGCAAAACTGAACAAAACAAATTCTTTTCTTGTGCGTGCAGCCATTGACTGGAACCGTCTGGAAGGCAGTATTGTCTCAAGTACCTAGGTAGAATCTTTCAAACTTGCCCTGGTGAAACATCGCAACTAGTGCCCTATAGCCATCATACTATAGTCCAATGGAGTCAATGACATATACATACAGCTACAGGTAAAGAGGTGTAACTAATAAGTGTTCTGTATGTGTCCTACGACATATTTAGCATCCAACAGTACATTGATAAAGATATTTTTATGATTTTTTTTGTATTATACACTTTACACCAATGTCTAGCTAAATGCAAGAAATAATTCTAATTGACCGAAAGAAAAATATTTTAATGTACTGCTGAAATCAAGGTGTACTCATGACAATGTAGTACACTAAACTGCCATGGGGGTATAATATGAAATATTGTCTTGTGAGTGTCCTGGGACACATTTGGTGCCCAGCAGTTCATTAATAAAGCTATTTTCTATATTTTTCTTATATATATACACTTTACACTAATGTCTAGCAATAAGTAAAAAATTGTCCTGATTGATGGACCCAAAAGTATTGAAATACACCGTCTTGCACACTAGGTCTGTTGGTCCTTCTTGAGGTGGACTCGGTCTAGAAAGGCAGTAGTGTCTAAGTTTTGTCATCCTCTCAGTTTCCAAACAGTTACATTGTCATCACTTTCAGAGAGAAGTTGTAGTTTGTCGTTGATGTGGATCAGTTATAGATCGTAGGCTTCCACTGTCAATTCATTCCTTGGGTACGCCCGGGATAAGGTGCATCTCAATGACCGGAGAACTCAGAAATACTTTTTGAAGTATGAAATCTACCATTTTGTTCCAATTTGCACCGACTATAAACACAGAAGTGCAGATATGGTTAGATGCCACGCTATTCCGACCTCTTTTCCAGTTGATGATATGTATACATTTATATTCGTCCACTTCTTCTGTCTTAAAAAGATGATAATGATGATGATCATCAACGTGATCATGATGGTGATGAAGGTTTATTGTCTCCGTGACTTTTCTTGTCTGTAGCTTAAAATAGATGATAATGATGATGATCATGATAGTGTAGAATACAGTATCATAGATATTTCCCACACCTGATGTCACTTCTTTGTGATATGATAGTGTCTTTCTATTAATTAAAATTGAATGATTATGAAATTTAAGTTTGTTGGATATAGAGTATGATCCGTCTCCAGTTATATTAACACAGCAATTTTGTATTTTTATGGTTACATTTTTCTTTCAGTGACATGCATTCTGTTGTACGTGTATTGATGGGCATTTTTCGCATTGATCTTGCCATGTCTTCCAGCCATGCATGCAAGAGTCTTCAAAAATTTTCTTGCTTTAAAAAACTTTTCATTTTTTTATCGAGTATGACCCACCTTCAATTGTATTATGTTGATCATGAGGTACTGATTATGCTTCCTCTTGTATCATTAACACAAGTATGATGGGCCCTCTGATAAAACATGCATTGCTCTATATTAATTCATTGAGTATGACCCACCCTCTTTGTAGAAGTCTGGGGACATACATTCCTTCCCCCCACCCCTCACCCACCCTTGCATATCTACATATGAGTATGATCATTAGTGGTCCAGTGGTGCAATGTTAACACACTAGTCTTTCACCTAGCCACCGGGTTCTATTCCAGAACAGACATTAAAAAAGGTAAGGGATCACCTGCTCTTCCATGTGGGTTTTCCATGTGCACTTCAGTTTCCTCCCACAATAACATCCCTCACAAGGTTACATCCGGGCCAACAAAAGCAATTAGTAGAAGTTGAAATAACTAGTTTCTTAATTGTTGTAAAATAAATAAAGTTTATATTTATTTATTGAGTATGACCTATCCTCATGTTGTTAATATTAAGGGGCTTATATCTTCTTTTATGGTTACAATTAGAGTATGATGGGCCCTCTGATAAATATGAACCATTTTATATTCATTATTATATCATCTTATATTAGTCAGACCTACCCTAATTTTCTATGTCTTGGAACATGCATTTTTCTTCTTACATAGCTATTGAGTGAGTATGATGGGCCCTCAGATGAACATTTAACATCATCTATTTATCAAGTATGACCCACCCTCATTTTATACATGTTTATAAGGAGTATGTAATTTCCTCTCTGCATAGTTACATTGTCCCCTTGCATAGTTAGTTATATTCTGAGTATGATGGGCCCTCAGATAAACAGGAATCACTTTATATTAATTCATTTAATATGAACCACCCTCATTGCATTACTCATTGTCTGAGGGCATACATTTTCTCCTTACATATCTACATATGAGTATGATTAGCCCTCAGGTGTAGATTTGACTCATCCTCATGCTGCACATGTTAAGGGGTTTATATTTCTCCTTGCATAGATACATTCTGAGTATCATTGGCCCTCTGATAAACATGAATTATCATATTTTTATATAGACCTTGACCAACTGTTGTTGTGTATTTTTAGGGGCATAAATTTCCCCCTCAAATTATATACCTACATCAGGAGTATGCTTGACCCTCAGAGAAATATATTTACGATCAATTGAGTTATCAAGTATGATCAACCCATATTTGCTTCTATGTATATTTTTCTCACCATACCTTCACACTGTAGAAAGTCTTGCCCGTTCTATATATTTATATGTACTGGCAAAGGACACTATTGAGCCCACTGGGGCCATTAAGAATTCTTATGTAATTTTTTTCAGGAAGTTACTGCAGAAGATGAAATGTTGGATGGTGAAAATATGGCCACATCATTCGTCTCATAAATGAAACATTTGGTTTTCAAAAGAGCAGTCAGTACTACTCCAACAACCTCTTTTGTAAAAGCGACCACAGAAACAGATTGCCCAAAGGTTTCTACTGGTCATACAGCTCAGAAGGCAAATGTCAACAGCCAGTTATTTGTAAATACAAACACGAATACTATTTGTGTGGAAAAAAGCATGCTGACTCTCAGCCATCGCAAAGCCTGTCAATGCCAGAGCAGCCTCACAGTTTAGCACACTATTTGCTGGTGATTCTCCACTGTCTGAACGATCTTATCATAACTCTGCTTTATGCAATCCTGTTGCAGCTAAAGAAAAACTTGGTAAACAAATTTCGCTTAACAAAATTGCAGGCCCCTTTTCTCTTCTTCCTATATCAGACCTTTCCATATATCCTTTAGGTCTTGTTCCCAAAAAAGATACTGGAAAATTTCAACTAATTTACAACCTTTCATAAGGGACAGTCAGTTAATGATGTTATCCCAAAAAAGGATATCAGCTGTTCAGTATGAATCAATAGAGATTGCTATATCTTTAGTTAAAAAATTTAGCACTTGTTGTTTAACGGCTAAAGCTGGCATTGAAGATTCTTTCCGTTTCGTTCCCATCCATCCCTCCGATTTCAAATATTTAGGCTTCAAGTGGGAAAATCAATATCAATATGACAGATTTTTACCTGTTCATCATCGTGTAAACTGTTTGAAACTTTTAGCTACACAATTCAATGGATAATGACCGAGAATTTCCAGGCTTATTTTTAAGATAAGATCTGATCTATGCAAGAATGATTTACAAAACTTTCTCAAAGCAGTTGTTAATATCGGACTAAACAGAAAAACCCAATGACCATCCACTGAGATAACCCATTTATGGTATACAGTTGACCACCGATACCATGACAGCATCAGTGGTTTATGGAAGAATGGACAGAGCAATTGTAAGCCCTTCATATCAATTTTACCTGTTGAACCAGTTACTTACTGTGTATATTATGCTGATGAGGTCAGAATTTGTCTGCTCATAAACTGATTATTGTAACTGTTATTACTGACTTGTAAACATGTGAGGTCAGTTTTTTGTCTGCTCACATTAACACTATCATAAATAGTCTCTAATTACTTTAGATTAAAAATATCCGCATCAAGTGAGGTCAGAATTTGACAACTGTTGCAACCAAACAATCGTCAGTCTCTGAACATGTTATTATAACGCAAGAAATAATCTGGTGACGTGATGATGTTTTATTATAATGTAGAAACATATCGTTCCAAAGGTGCTGAAAATGACATTAATCACCCAAGTAGGAAAGATACAACGGTTTGCAGGCTTACTTCATCTGGATTATATGATACCATCGTAGCAGTACACAGGTAGATTGTATTCACACGTAAACAGAACAGCTCTAGAACGAATGGTGATAATTTATGATCATTCCCGAGAGAAGACTGTTCCCAGCTCGGAATAAAAAAAGCAAATAAAACAAATATTATAAAGTTACGAACCTGCTTGTGAGAAATGGCGTAACAGCTTCCTTCCGTCCATCTTTCTTACGTGTGCACTTGCAGACGACAATGTCAACACCTAAACACATGTACACTATCGAGGGCGGGTAATGACCTTCACCGTTCAACCGGTGATTGCGCAGTGCGCTTGGGTCACGCGGTGGTGTAGTGTCTGGCTAGGCAGCTTCACATGTTATAGAAGTGCTTAATTTGGTGTTTGTGCACGTGTGTGTAGATTATGAAAAATCACGTGTATGATTAATGAAACAAATACGAGTCTTCAAAATATGAACACTACTTAAAATAGAGGTGATTTAAACAGAATTAGTTCAAAACACCTTGTATACAAACTGAGTATGCGTCCAACGTGTTTTTGTTTACATATTTTTTACCCGGCTGTTTTGAACGTGATGAGTATTTGTCATACTTTGTGATCCTGAATGACCTTCACGTTATATAGGTAAAAAAGATCGTGAAGATATGTTTTTGTATTTGTTGATTTTTAAAAACATGTTTTCAGAGTAACCTGATTTTGAGGAATATCAATTTTGACCGGGCTGGTAAATATGCGTTTTAGTTTTCGTTACAATTGAACTTTAGCGCCCTTTCTTGATTTTTTTCCTCTTTGCATGCGTTTGTAAAGGTAGCAAATACGGCTTCTAGCTGTTACTCAGCTTAATGAAACTGCTTCCTCAGCTCACTGGTAGAGCTGTGAGTAATCACGCCGGAGACCCGCGCGGAGTGTATTTCCTGTTGGGGTTGAGATTTCAGAAATCTAGTAACAAGTGAAGGAGTGTAAGTGTATGTTTAGTCGCAAATATATTTTGACGACTTGTAATCTTGCTTCTAGTTTGAATTTGACTGTGTTCATGAAAAAAAAATAAAAAAAACACCAAGAAAATATATACATAATCATAATCCAAATTCCATAAACTGAGGGCGAAATATCAAGAAAATAAAAAATTACACGGAGATTTCTGAAAAACTACAAGGAGAAAAAGACCATGTGCTCTGGAAGATTGAACGTCTTCTTTTCATCGACGACACCCACCATGTAAACCTTGGATAATCAAAGTAAATAATGTCACGTTCTCAAATGAGAACAAGGTTTACACCGACCGAACCAACAGGCAAACTAACGAGCGTAAAACATTTCCAGCTTCATATGACACAAAGGGAATATCTTACGATGAGATCACTATAACGGTCGTAGAACTTCCCCCATAATTTCCATCAGCCTGCATATATTGAAACCCTGAGAAAATCGTGATAATCATGAGCATGCCTTTGAATACCAAATCAACTGCGACATGTAAACACCATAGCCCATTAGGTTCATATCATTAAACATTTTTTTCTTGATTCTTTAATAACCAAAATGTCCAATGGTGCTGTTATATTATTTTGGGATAAAGCGCTAATAATTTTAATAAAATCATAACCTTCACCCACTTTAAAAATCAGAGGTCAAATTACATTCATGGTATCTTCAAAAATCTTCAAATTACTTCTTTTCAATAATCATATAGCCCTAGGTAATCGGATATTTGGTATGTAGTATCCTGCGATGAAGGACTATCAACTTTGTTTTAATGAAAATGGGTCAAATGTGTTTAGACATTTAAACTTCTTCTTTTCAATAACAAATGACTCATGTGTCATTGTATTTGTGAAGTTTTTCCCTAGGGGAATGGACTTTTAAGTTAACAGAGATTTACATAACGAACCGACGATGTCTACTTTGTAAGATGCAGAACAGGTGAGCGGTTCAGGCACATTGGGCCTATTGTTGTATGTCTGCGGTGTCACAATTACTTGTTCTGTCCGTTTTGGATCATTTTGTCACAGACTCTTCAACTTCATAGATATCTGTAATGTTTTAAATGTTTACCTATATCAACTTACTAGGAAACCAGAGCATCAACGCAAATATCTACGAGGTATATCGGGTCAGATGTGAGCACAATCATCATGATCGTCCTGGAAAACTGAAATTATAAGCTGTGTATCTATTACTGAATTTGTATGAAAATTGCAATTCCCCTAATGTGGCATCGCACTGCTCGCTTGACATTTCAACAAATGCACACACATACCTGATCTCTAAGTACATGTACTTAATTGTTTGTCAACAGATAAAAATTACAGGTACAAGTTGAAAGGAATAACCCATTAAAATAACTTTCATCACATAAATAAAGGTCCTTTAAATTCCTGGTTTATAATCTGTTTTATTCTAGATTTATTCTGCTACATACACTTACAGAGAAAGGTCACCTTGTCAAACGACAATGTGATTAATATTCTGCAGTCGTGTCGTCACATACACCTATATAATTCCAAATCTATATTTGTAGTTTGCTTAACGCTTGGGCGGAATTAAACCAATTGGGTTTGAAATATCAATGTGGGTGGAGAATTATTTCTTAAAATTCGTAAAAGTTGATCCGATCCCTAGGAACCTTGGGAAGAGGTCCCAAATGGGAAAGTAAGTAAATATTTACATCAAAATGATACTCTTCCTGAATGTCTCAATGGATTTCAATTGAATTTAATCAGGAAGTGGATTCGGCCCATATGAGCTTATGGGCGCGGGGCGGGACCACTGAAGTGGAAGTTAGACAATATTTTGCTTCATAACGCTACTTCCTCTTAATGTCTGGGTAGATTTCAACCGTATTTGCCCTGAAACATTATCAGGGAGTGGCAATGATATCAAACGTGCATGACGTGATCCGGAGACTGTCCTGACCAAATCAGATAGTTTTGCTTTGGTCCAAAATCCAACACAGAATAAATAGTCAGAACTACCTCTCGTGTTTCAGTCATTCCATTGAGAAATATATTTGGAGTATGATTTGTTAAGGTAAATAAATCAGCTGATAAATTATTTTTCAGCCTGATACAAACTTAAACAATTGGTAACTACATTAACCATTTTGTAACATGATCGTTCAACTGTTTATCATGAACAAAACCTACCACTTATGAGTTTATGATACTTTCAAGGAATATTCACAATTTGAATTCAGCAGATTTGTCAGACCACAATCAGCGAATTCTGTGGTCTGTCCATCCATTCGTCGATTGTCAGATGACTGTTAAGGGTCATGACCCTATTGTTACATTTTCACAAGTGAAATATAGAGAATTACCAAACTGATCAAACTGGTAATTAAAAAGATGTGTAATTAATTCAATGTAGGATGTATGAAGTGATTTGTTCTCGTATCTCCAAGGGGAAATCAAAGTTAAAAAAACCCTGGTTGTCATAAAACATCAAACTTTTCTGTATAAAATTTGTCAGAATTCTTTCCACAAACACTTGTTTTAGTTAAAAGGAAACTAGCATCTTGCGAATTATGAACCATTTGTTAAAGAGAGTCAGAAACAGAGGAATACATCTTTCCCGAGTGTTACATCACAACTCAGATAATTGAGAAATTTACTATCTGGTATACACTTTATTAAGAACAATACAATTACATATCATTTCGAGATAGTGAGTTTTTCTTTTGAAATCCAAAATTTGAGCCTTGCTTTAATCATTTTATTCTATTGTTAAAACAACATATTTCTTCCTGTTGAATGAAAGAGTGTATACCAAGTTTTGAAATTTGTAAAAAAAAATGTTAATTATAATAATAATTGAAAAGTGTGTGGCCTTGAAAAAGAAAAGTTTAGCTGATCTTCATGGAAAATGGGGATGTTTAGAAGCATTGGACACAAAATATAAAGTTATATACATTGAACATAGACATACGAAATTTAACCACTTACGTGTAATCATATCCCACCTTTTCTGTTTGATAAATGATAATGCAGGACCTATATATTAACAGTGATGACACGTATTCTGTCCATCTAACAATGCCTTAGGGTACCATTTGCACACCAGCTGGTGCTGTGTTTGTTGATGTGGCTTGTCGTTATAGTAAGAATGGTGTGAACAAAAGTTAATAAGAATTTACAATATGGCGGGTGTGAAATAGGTGCAAGATATTGAGCTAATTGTAAAATAGAAAATTGAAAGTTTGAAATAATGTACATGTTTACTTATTATAAAATGTATGTTTAGATGTGGTGGAGGATAAGAGTCTTTCTGTCAAGGAACTGTTTGTTATTAATGAATTATTAGTACATGATAGATTGAAGATTGCCAGGTTGAACGATGTTTGTGTAGTTGTGACAGGAGCAAGAGTACAGTAGTCTTGGTCATTTCAAATGTTTGTTTAAATGTATATGTGCATTTAACATGAAAGCCCTCCTATGAGAGGACAGGTTTTGTAATTTTATATATTTGTCTTGTCAATAAAATGTATTGTCGAAAATAAATAAATAAATGAAAAACTAGTCTTCGTTGTAGCATTTGTTCTGGTCAAATGTGATTTTCATAACTCTTTTTCGGTTTTCCAAACTTTTGATTCCTAGTATCAATGACAAATCCGACAAGGATGGAAAGCAATAGGAATGCCTATGTTGCACGTAGTAAGATATGCTATATATAACACACAATGACTTGCGGCTGGAACATGCGATAAAAATGGTTCTGGTCGAGTTTTGTTTTACTAATTTGATAGTTCGGCACTTACTTTATCATGATACATTGTATTACTTAATTCGACCGAAATGTGTTCTTGACTTGAGTGTCTATCATGCATTCCTATAACAGTTAAAGCAGTAGTCAAATAACCATACAAATGCAAAGCACAAATATGTCGTGACACCCAACTGTATAAATGGGTACCGGTATGGCACAGAAATCGAACCAAGACCCGCTTACAAAGCTACATTTATGTTATAACAATTTGTATTAGGAAAAAGATAAAGTTTGAAAGGTAAATACGTAATATATCGAGGATTTTAGCTCAGAAAATGGATAACAAAGTTTAACACAAAATTTTAACCAAACTTTTAAAATTCTATATCGCACTTATATAAATCGTTTTAATTAGAACTGGATTGGTTAAAACCAATCTTGGTAGTAACAAATGTTTGTAACGTTATGTATCTTCTAAAAGTATCTTTCATATAAACATTTATATCTTACTGGTACATGTATATATCTTTGGAAGTAACATGCTAAGTTTTCTAG